TCCACAACCTCGCCAGCATTTGTTATTTTCTGTCTTGTTGAACTTTTAAACCAATCACTTTTGAAATATAAAAGGAGCAGGTTAGGCAAGAAGCAACCACAAATGGGGAAAGATTGATGCTACATGGAGATCACCAAGGATCTGAGGAAGAAAAGCTGAAGGAGACAAGGATTTTCCCCCAGTGGATAGAGAGAGACTTCCTCTGGAACAAGTGCTCTGAACTGACACTTCTATTCCTTTAAACTGTGAGAAAATAAATTCCTAAAATAAATAAATTCACTAAAGAAAATAAATTCACTAAAGCCACCCACTTATGGTATTTATGTTATAGCACCATTAGGAAACTAAGACACAGGGCATGTACAGCAGGGGGTGATAACTGTGGAGGGGTCATCTTAGAATTCTGCCTACCACAAACTCAGAATATTAAGTTAGAATAAACTTGGTGAAGTGTGGGTTCAAAGACGAGAGACAAATATTCTAGGCAGAGAGGATGGTACTTGCAAAGACCACAGAGCCCGCAGGAGCATGATTGTTGGAGAAAATGGAAGATAGTGTCACTGAAGGGGAGAAAGCAGATGGAATCTATCACCATGTGAGGAAGAAAAGATAGAGAGGGACCACTTCCTTTAGGAAGGCTGTAACCTATGTTTAGTGTTTATTCTAAAGACAATGGGGTGCCAAGAAAAGACTTTTAAGATTGGACCCTCAGGCTCTGCATTCGAGAAAAGGACTGTGCCACGTGAGCTCTGCATCCTAAGTGCCTAACATAGTGTATGACAACACAAAGGGGGTACTCAGCAAGTATGTTCTGTGATACGATTGATAGCCTGAGAAACCCAATGGAGTTACTCTGAATTGGAATTGACTTGATGGCAGTGAGTTTGTTTGTATTTCTTTGATGGAGTCCCTGGGTGGTACAAACGGTTAACACGCTCAGCTGCTAACTGAAACTTTGGAGGTTTGAATTCACCCAGAGGCACCTCAGAAAGCTCTAATGATCTACTTCCAAAAGTTCAGCCGTTGAAAACTCAATGGAACACATATGTTCTATTCTGATACACATGGGGTGGCCATGAATTGGAAGCAACTCCATGGCAACTGGTGGTTTATAGATGATCATATGTTGCCATCTTTAGATGAGGAAACTCAGAGAAGGTAAGTTGTCCAAGGTTAGAGGTCTGGTAAGGGTGGAGCTGAGCTTCCTACTCATCAATCAGACTCCAAAGTCTAGGCCTTTGACCCAGAGAGAATAAGAAGCCAAATCAGGACTTGAAACTTGATTTGGACTGCAAGGAAACTCCTGAGTGATCCTGATGATCTCCAGGCCTGGTGCTATGAACAAAACTAATATTGTCAAAAAAAAAAAAAAAAAGGAAAGGAAAAGAAAAAGAACAGTTGCTGTGGAGTCAATTCTCCCTCATAGTGACCCTATAGGACAGAGTAGATCATCCCCACAGGTTTTCCAAAACTGTAATCCTTATGAAAGCAGACTGCTAAATCTTTCTCAAATGAACAGCTGGTGAGTTCGAATCACCAATCTTTCCATTAGTAGCCAAGCAAGTAACCACTGCACCACCAGGCCTCCTTATTTTGTCAAAGGAGACTACGAAATGAAGTTGCCGCACCACTGTTCCATTCCTGAAAGACTACACTGGGCAGTTCAATTTTCTAATTGCATTTCAGCCTGTTGAAAAACAAAGGTAATGCAGTGATTAATTCCAGCCCCTCCTGCTCTACTTTGAAGGCCAGGCATCTCTTAGTTAACATACACGGATTCAGAGATTTCCAGTCTCTCCAATTTGGGGCGGTTCTACATTTTGCAGAACTCTCACTCAGTTCAAGGATAAGCAAATCCAAGGTCTGGAGAAGGAGCGAGAGCTGCAGTCTTGAATCCTCTGCCGTCGTGTCGATTACCGACTCCTAGCGACCCAGAGTAGACCTTCCTCATAGGGTTTCCAAGGTTATAAATCTTTATGGTTATAGACTGGCACGTCTTTCTCCCTAGGTTCGAACTGCTGACTTTCAGGTTAACAACCCAGCACTTCAACCACGAGGTTATCCTTGCAGTCTTAAATAGTCTCGGAGCAGTACTGGGGCTTTGTGCCCGCGGGGCACCGATTGGAGGAGAGAAGGGGTGGGGCGGAAAGCGACTCTTCCCGCTGACCCCGCCTCCTGCCTAGCCGCGCCCTCCGGCCTCGCATCCTGCCCAGCTCCGCTGCGCATTGTGCTATCTGTCTGCCCGCGGGGCGGTGGAGGACGCTACATTTAGTGATGGGGATCCAACCGGTGAGGCCCTCGCTCCATATCCTGCACCCAGGGACTTCCTCGCCCCATCTGGTTCTAGACACTCACCTTCGGACCTCCGGCTCTCACTGCCTACCTCGCCCCACAGGGCTCTGAACCCGCCCTGGTTGCTTGGGTCGTGGTACCGCGCTTCATGGGGGGTGGACCCGTGGTTACCCTTCTGGCCTCGGCATCCTCCAGCCCTGGAGCTCGAGACTGCCAGCCTTGGGGCAGGGGTCGTACGGGATGGTCATCACCCGCACCCTAGGCTTTTCCCCAGCGCGGTGGTCACGCTGCCTCCTCTGCCCACAGAACCCAGTCCTGCTGGCCTCCCTGGGGGTGGGGCTGCTGTCTCTGCTCGGCCTGGCTCTGGGCTCCTACCTATTTCGGAGGTCCCGCAGGCCGCCTATCACTCTTCTGGATCCCAACGAGAAGTACCTGCTGCGACTGATAGATAAGACGGTAAGTGGAGGAAGGGGTCGGGTAGGGGAGGGGACCAGAGTTTTCCTGGTATGAGGAAGACAACACCCAGGACAGCAGATGAGGTGGTTGGGATGCTCCGAGGGACTTGGCAGCAGCGACCCGCTTGATGAAACACATGTGTTATCCATCCTCCAGACAGTGAGCCACAACACCAAGAGGTTCCGCTTTGCCCTGCCCACCGCCCACCACATTCTGGGGCTGCCTGTGGGTAAGGAGAGTGTGGAGTGGATTCCTTCCTTGGGACCCCAAAGAGACCGATTCCCCTTCTGGGGTCTCCTAAAACATGCTGCTTCCCTCTATTCCCACCACACCGCATTCCCCTTTCCCTACCTGGCTCTCTGTCCTCTGATGGCTATGAAGTGCCACAGGTCCCCTTTAGGGTGTGGTTTCTGTGCCCCTAGTAATCTTTAACACTCAGCCATCCTCCTTCCTGCACGACTTGCTCACACCACGCCCCTGAGCAAGCACTAATTTATTCCCATTGCCCAAACCCTCATCTCACTTGACTTTGCTAAGGTACTGGCAGTAATCGATAAATTTCTCCATTGAGAGCTTAGGAGGAATCCAGCTGGGGCTCAAAGGAGTGAATCCTCCCTGCCTTGTAGTTCACTGAATCCACAGCAAGAAGCACAACATTTCTTGTTCTCTAAAAACCTCCCTGAGTGATTTGAAAAGTAATAGAGATGCAGCACATCCACAAGCCACCCTTATGTAGCTCCCTGCATGGTTCCCAGGCAAACATGTCTACCTCTCTGCACGGATCGATGGCAGCCTGATCATCAGGCCGTACACTCCTGTCACCAGCGATGAGGACCGAGGCTACGTGGATCTTGTTATCAAGGTAAGAGGGGTAAAAAAGAACTCCAGGAGCTCCTTACCCCACTCTTTGTAGGATTTGTAGAAACTTCCGAGATTTGTATGAAAGCAAGAGATGGAATGTCCTTTGTAGATATGAGCAAAGTATGTGGACTGGGAAGAGATAGCATGTGTATGGTCCCTACTCCAGCCTCAGGGACATTAAATAAACAGGGGACTCAGGAACCAGTGACATTCCAAATAAGATATTTTCCATTCTGTCTCATCAGGTTTACCTGAAGGGCGTACACCCCAAATTTCCTGAGGGAGGGAGGATGTCTCAGTACCTGGATAGCCTGAAGATTGGGGACATGGTGGAGTTTCGGGGGCCAAGTGGGTTGCTCACTTACACTGGGAAAGGTAATGGCCTCTCTTCTCCTTGAGATCATCTCCCTTTTCTCCAGTTCCTATGGTCCTGGAGAACAGTGTGACTGTGTGTGTGTGTGTGTGTGTGTGTGTGTGTGTGTGTCAGTATGTATAAGGGCCAGAACTGCCCTTCTGACCACAGCACTGGTACTATAGAAAGGCATATTACTCAGCATCATTGGCGGCAGGTGGCAGTTCCCTATCCACTTGAATTCACCAGCTCTGACATCTGTGGCAATTACTAAAACAAACAATGGCTCTTTTCCCCCTAAAGATTTGCACCTTAGGTTGAGCTGTGGAACAAGCCAGAGATAGCTTTCAGTCCTTCCCATGGGAGCAGCTGGGTGCATTACCAAACCCCTGGAGCTTCTCTATGACACTTGGCCTTGTGCCTGTTGTCCTCACCAGGGAATGACCCTCTGACAGAAACAGCTAATGACTCACCATGCTGCTCTGAGCTGACTAGTAGTTGGTAATATGGGACAGATAGCTCTGGCCCCATTGTCCCTCAAGTATGTTATTTATCAGGGCTGGCTCAACTCAAACCTCTGCCCAAGTTCCAGAATCAGATTTCATAGCAGCTGCTAAACTGGCTGTGGATTTTGTTTCAATTCTGTATTTGTTTTCTTAGTTCCCTGTATTGACTTTGTTCTTCCTCCCTTCTCTTCATTTGGCTCCTCAGGAAATTTTAACATTCAGCCCAACAAGAAATCTCCACCAGAACTCCAAGTGGCACACAAACTGGGAATGATTGCCGGCGGAACAGGTGTATGTCGCTTGAGGGGCCATTCTCTCCCACCACTGTTGATTGTTACTGTGAAAACTTCTAAGTGACCTTCAGAAGGTTTGGTAATCATAGCCAAGCTGTTAATCAGGGGAATCCCAGCAGTGCCTAGTGGTGGTATTAGGTGCCATTGAATCAGCTCCAACTCATAGCAACCCTATGTACAACAGAACGAAATGCTGCCCAGTCCTGAGCCATCCTCACTAGTATTCCCTAAACCAACCAAACTAACGCACTGCATTCGAGTCAAGTCAGATCCAACTTATAGCAACCCCTCCTTGGGTTTCCAAGGCAGTATCACTATGGAAGTAGATTGCCCAGCCTTCCTTCCAATTCCCTAGTATCTGAAAAACAAAATCATAATGAGGTAGAAACAAACAAACAAAAAAATTTTAACTGATAGAACAAGAAAAATAAATCAAGTGGGCTCTCCCGAGATCTTAAATTAAATGCATCTAATAATTTTTAAGTGAGAGTAGATAAAAGCAGCTTGAAATGACTAATCAGGTAGAAAGAAAATTAACTTTGGGCACTACTGTGTACTAGACACTATGTTAGTCACTTTACATATGTATCTATGAAGCAGGTATTTGCATTCCTATTTTACAGATGAGAAAATGGAGATTCAGAGAAGTTAAGTGGTTTCCATAGGGTTATTAAATTGGTAATAGGCAGAGACAGGATTTGTATCAGGGTCTCCCTGATTCCAAAGCACATGCACTTAACCACTGCAAGTCTAATATTCCAGGACGCTCATCATTGAATAAGGAGATACATGTGGTCATCTTTGACCATACTCACCTCCAAAGGATTTTCAGAGAAAGGGTCTTTGGTTCCTTAGAAGGATATCTAAAAAAATGAACTTATGTGCATATTGAGAATGTCTACAGTTCACCCACCAGATAGGATTTTCAGTGAGTTTGGGGGAACTGGCATATCTGACCAGAAACATAGATGCTAGAGAATTCCCAGGAGAAGCTACAAGATTTGGGTATTAAAGGAAAAACAGAATGTGTCGAATTAAGATGAAAGAGTTGGTCAGCTAAGGAGTTGGGACAGGGTGGAATGTGGCCCCCATTCTCCCTAAGGGATATCTTTATGCAGGGATCACACCGATGCTGCAACTGATCCGGGCCATCCTGAAAGACCCTGAAGATCCAACCCAGTGCTTTCTGCTTTTTGCCAACCAGGTTGGTTTGCTTTTCTCAGTCCTGAGACTTCAGAGTTGCTATATGGGTAGAGCTGAGATGTGCTACTAGTGGACAGACCTGGTCCACTGCATTCTATTCTCTGCCCAAGGTCCCTTGTACAAGGTAAAGGACCCTCCTCTACTACAATAACGAGGAAAGAGAGCAGAGTATTGGGTCAGATTTTCTCCCTGCCCCCAAGGGAAGAAGAAAACATTTAAGGAATCTAGTCCTGAGCATAGTAACTGTGCCTTTGGTTAAGTTGTTGATATTGTGTGTTGTTGAGTTGATTCTGACTCATAATAACCCCATGTGACAGAGTAGAACTGCACCATAGGGTTTCATAGGGTTCCTAGGAAAGCCTTCAATGCGATAAGATTGACACAGTGGCTGAAACAATGGGCTCAAATGTAGCCATGATTATGAGGATAGCAGGGCAAAGGTCACTGTGAGTTGGAGCACCCAACAACAGCAACAATCTTTACAAGAGCAGATTGCTAGGTCTTTTACTCCTGTGGAGTGGTTGGTGGATTCGAACCACCAACCTTTGGTTAGCAGCCAAGCACTTAACCACCAGGGCTCCTTCCTTGGTTAAATATTCTGTCTTTATTCCTTCATACTGCATAGATAGTGTTTTGTCCCCTCCCCATCCCCTCAACTTCCTGGAAGCACTATCAGGTCTTATTCCCTAAACCTTTAGTGTTCCTTTGGCATTCTTGTTCTCTCCTGGTTGGAAAGTTGTTATAGAAGAGAATATTTTTATGTGGGCCTGAGAAAGTTCCCAGAGATTTTGCTTCCCCTTTTCATTTCAGACTGAAAAGGATATAATCTTGCGGGAGGACTTGGAGGAACTACAGGCCCAATATCCCAGTCGCTTTAAACTCTGGTTCACTCTGGATCAACCCCCAGAAGGTATTCTCCCCATTTATGGACATCCCAATCTCCCTTCATCATCAAATTCAAGGCCTTGCCCCTGTGTGAGTTCTTGTGTTAGTAAATCCAGACCTTAGTGACACTGCCAAACTCTCAAGTCTGAGTGTACAAACACAGTAGTCTCCTGGGCCCTTTCCTTCAAGTACCTGTCCTGTTTACCTGGTGGGTGGCAAGTATGACTGTGCTGCTGAGGCTTGGCCTGGGGCTGATTATACCCCTCCTCTGCTGAGGTGGGCTGAGTGTATTCATCCAGCTGCTGCCACAACTTGATACCTCCCAGGAGCCTTTCTGGGCCCTCTCAAACTCATGGCAATCAGTCCCTTGCCAGCATGGATCTGGAGTGTCAGTTCTTTCCTCTCCCCTGTTCTTTAGATTGGGCCTACAGCAAGGGCTTTGTGACTGCCAACATGATCCGGGAGCACCTGCCTGCCCCAGGTGATGATGTGCTGATGCTGCTCTGTGGGCCACCCCCGATGGTCCAACTAGCCTGCCATCCCAACTTGGACAAACTGGGCTACTCACAAAAGATGCAGTTCACTTACTGAGCATCCCTCAGCTTCCATGGTCCCATTCACTGCAATTGTTCCTAGTCAGTACTCAGATGCTGTGAGCCCTAGTTCCTTTTCTGATGATATTGTGTGCTGAGTCAATTCAGACTCATAGTGACCCTATATGACAAAGTAGAACTGCCCTATAGGGTTTTCTTGGCTGTAATCTTTATAGGAGCAGATTGCCAGGGCTTCTGTCTGTTGGAGCCTCTGGTAGGTTAGAACCTCTGACCATTTGGTTAGCAGCCTAGAGCTTAACCATTGTGCCACCAGGGCTCCTTCAGTGGTCCATATGTCCCTGAAAAATAATATGTATTCTGCAGCTATTGGATGCAGTATTGCATATATGATAATTAGGTCAAGTTTGTTCCTTATGTTGTTAGACTTACATTTACAAGTCTTTTGTCTGCTTGTCTGCTGTTATTGAAAGAAGCATGTTAAAATCTCTCATTACGAGAGATTCTCAGCCTCAACATTATTGACATTTTGGACTGGATAATTCTTTGCTGTGAAGGGCTGTTCTGTGCATTGTAGGATGTTTAGCAGCATCTCTGTCCAGCCTTTACCCACCAGTTGCCGGTGATACCACTCCAGTCATGACAATCAAAAATGTCTCCTTTTTTGATAGTATCAGCCTCCTGTGTCTTATTCTGGAGCTGAAATATAGATGGTACCTGTAGGAACCACATCCCTGCAGCCCATGGAAGAGAACCAAGGTGGAGTGGTTCCCTAGAAGGCCACCCAAATCTCCCTGTGATAAAAGACCCAGTCAAGCCCAGGGACCAATCTCTCCCATGAGATCAGAAAGAAGGGAGCATGTACATTTTTTTCCAAGACTGGCTAGTTCTTTGATAGTATCACAGTCTCACTCTCTCTGTCTATAATGTGAAGTGCAATCTGTGCAATGAGTTTTACATGCTTAACCCATGGGCAGGTTCTTCATGTATGAGTGCAAGTTTGAGCAGACTACAAAGGTGGTGAGAATGCAAGAAAAGAGGAAATGGTTTCTGCAGATCTCCAGTCCTTAGAGAAAGGAGGTTGAGATCTATGTTTGTCTCTCTCTCTCTCTCTCTCTCTCTCTCACTCACTCTCTCCCCCTCCCTCCCTCTCCTTTTTTTTCTCTCTCTCTGCCCCTGCCCAAGCTAGAGGGAAGTGGCCACCCTAAGTCTAAGACTGCTATTTGTGGCAAGAACCTCTGGCTATGCAAATAAATGGAGCTAAGGTCCCTGCGTGACACCTAAACGGTTGTTGTGCCTGGGGTCCTTGTTACCAAGGCCTTTTGTGCCTGGGAACCTTGAAAGGAAGAGTTTCCCAGCACAGAATTTCTCCCGGGCCTTCCAAAGAGCCTTTGAGCACTTCCATGTGCTGAAATATGAGCTGCCACCAAACTCAGTGATCATTTCAGCAGCTGTCTGGACAGAGCCGGAAACTTAACTTCTCCCTGGAGGCTTTTGTGGTGGAAGAGAAAAATACAAATTAAAAGCAATGCTTTCCTGGCCCAGGTGCCCCTCACAGTAGCCCTTTGGTTTAGCTACTCTTCCCCTTCTTCCTTCTCTTGACTTGTCCTTCACCATAATTTTTATCCCTCAGAATACCTGGCAAATGAATCAAAGTATTGTCTTTCTGTTTGGAAGAGAAGCCTTCTCCTTTAAAAAGCAACCTGACCTCACCAACCCCAGCCAGACTTGGTGCCTGGACAGAGTTGCCTTTCCCCAGGCCCATCTGTCCTGAGCACTGTCCTTCTCCTCTGCTGTTACAGTATGACCCACTCTACTCCCTTCTCCCAGGGTAGGATTATGGTAGCCCCTTCAGATTCTTCTTAGATCCACTGGGACAAAGCAATGATCAGTCTCAGGAGAAAGGCAGATAATGTTTTTCTACATGAAACTGTGTATTACTTTCTCTAGGGCCCTTGAGAGAAAGGCCTGTGGGACTCTCAGAATTTACGCCTTCATAGGAACCCAGGAAGGTCCAACTAGAGGCCAGAGTCCAGTAAATTCTGTAATGGTCGTCCATCACACATTTCATGAGCAGGTGTTATATGTATGGCACTGTGTTCTGTAAGAACATCACCTCCCAAAAGGAAAATTTGCTTAGGTTTGTTTGGCTCAGATACTGGAGCAGCCCAACCAAAAAAAAAGAAAACCAAACTCACTGCCATCAAGTCGGTTCCAACTCACAGACCCCTCCTTGGGTTTCCAGGGTGGTATCTCTATGGAAGTAGATTGTCTAGTCTACCTTCCAAAGAGTGGCTGATGGGTAAACCACCAGCCTTCTGGTTAGCAGTCAAATGCCTTAGGCACTACACCACCAGAGAATTTCCCACATGGAAGCTCACTATCCCTTGTCTTAAATGGGTTCCTACCTCATCCACGCAGTATACAAACATCTGTTAAGGACTTGTCATGTGCCAAACACTATGCTAGGCCCTCAGAATACAATTGTGACCAAGACTAGTCTTCCCTGCCACCGAGTGGATCCTGACTTATAGCACCCCCATTGGGTTTCTCAGGCTGTAAATCTTTGTGGAAGCAGACTGCCTAATCTTCCACAGAGCCATTTGGTGTGTTCAAAACACCAACCTTTTGGTTAGCAGCCACATGCTGTAACTACTACACTACCAGGTCTTTTTTTTTTTTTGCCTATCAAACTTGCAAAAAAGATTATTAACTATTTTACTACATTTCTGCTTCCTACACTACCGGGTCTTAGGCCTCTGAAAGAACTCAGTCTAAGACTAGTAAATAATTACAACACAGTATAATTAATGCTATAATAAAGATACGAAAAAGTGCAGATGGGCCCGTAGCAGGGGGTTCAAAAGGATTTTGGAGATGGAGGAAGAGGAGAAAGAATCAAAATTTTGAGTAACAGTCATGTACCAAGTTCTGTGCTATTTAATGTAATCTTCCTGGTAATCCTGAGTCTAAACTTAAAATTAAGGCCATAGCGTTAATCAGTGGCTTACAGAGCCTGAATGTGACCTAGAGTTGTCTGAATTCAGAGCCAAACCTAGAACTAAGCATTGTAAGTTGCTTAGATCTTCTGGCAGAGAATTGGGGGCAAGGACAGGCAAACAGAGGATCAACATGTGCAAAAGCCTGGAGGAATTAAAAGAGTTGATATTTGGTTTGAAGTACTAAGAACAGTTCATTGAGGCCCAAGATGCAAGAGGGAGTGTGGAGAAAGATGAAGCCTGAGAGTAGGTTAGAGTCAACTTCCAAAGGGTCTTGTCAAGATACACAGAAGCTTGAACTGAATTCTGTGGACAATGGGAAGTTCCTGAGGATTTTCTACATTCAAGCAAAACAGTAACTAACGTTTATATAGCATTTACCATTTGCTGGGCACAGTACTGAGAACCTGCATGAATTGTCTCATTTAATCCTGACAACAGCCCTATTGAAGTAGCACTATTTTAGTCCTATTTCTTAGATGAGGTAACTATCCTTTGGAGTTGTTCAGCAAGGTGCTCAAGATCAGAGGCTGACCAGGAGCACAAACCTGGGTCTCTGTAACTCCAGAGCCTATTCTTTGAACTAGCACCAAGAGAATCAAGCCCTACTGCCTTAAGTCAACAAGCCTGGTGGCATAGTGGTTAGAGCGCTCTGCTACTACCTGAAAGGTGGGCAATCTAACCCACCAGCCTCTGTGGGAGAAAGATGGGGCAGTCTGCACCCTTAAAAATTCACAGGCTTGGAAACCCTATTGGGGCAATTCTACTCTGTCTTACAGGGTTACTATGAGTATGAATCGGCTCACTGCAAGGGTTTTAGTTTTCTGTTTTCCCCGAAGGTAGCTATTGTCAGTAATGAATAATCTTTCCATCTAGAATGGCTCTGGTTAGGTACCATCCTTGGGAGAATTGAGAAGACTAACAGTCTTTCAAATCATTTTCTGTGTTCTGGGGTTCAGATGAGGGCCACACCACCCTATATTTCACCCGTTCTGGGTGCCATCACTTTGGCGGCAATGGAGCACAGACAGAAGCAGGGAGCTTCCAAGTAAAACCAGTTAAAAATGCCTCCACTGTTTCTGACAAGAAATTACAGGAGCCAGTCCTAGCGTCTGGGAGCCCTGGTGGCATAGTGCCTAAGGCATTTGACCGCTAACTAGAAGGCTGGCTGTTCAAACCTACCAGCCACTCCTGGCAAGGAACACTGGGCAATCTACTTCGGTAGAGATACCGCCTCAGAAACCCAGGGAGGGGTAGCTATGAATGAGAACAGCAGTGAGTTTGTTTTGTTTTTTAGTACTAGAGTCTAGTCCACTGCCTGTCACACACTGAGCACTCAATAAGTATTTGTGGAAAGGAGGTAGAGACTATGAAGTGGAAGATTAGGTGTAGGAATTTTCTAGTGTAGATGACAAGATAGGGAATTAAGCATTCTCACCAAAAACAAAAAACCTCACTGCCATGGACTCGGATCTGACTCATAAGGACCCCTCCTTGGGTTTCCAAGGCAAGATTCCCTTTGTTGTTGTTATGTGCCGTGGAGTCAGACCGACTCATAACGACCCCTCCTTGGGTTTCCGAGGCAGCATCACTAAGGAAGTACATTGCCCCATCTTCCTTCCGAGGAGTGGCTGGTGGATTTGAACCACCAGCCTTCTAGGTAGCAGTCAAGTGCCTTAGGCACTACACTACCAGAGCTCCCAAGATTCCCTTTAATTCTCCGAAATTCCTCCTTCACGTGCTCTGATTGGTGTTTCGGGTTGCCGTTCTTGCAAGGTGGCGCTTGGAATAGGATGGCGAGGCCAAAACCGAAGGTCATCTGAGTTGAGGATTGGAACAGACAGAGGAGGCGGGGCCTACGATGGGAGGCTGGACTCACGGTTGGTGAGGCGCCCCAGACGTAAAGGGGACGAGCCGGGACTAGGGAGGCGGAGCCAGTGAGAGGGGCGGAGTCCGGGGCGCAGGGGTGTGGCGGAGAGGAGCGTGCCTGTGATTGGGACTCCCGGAGGAATGCCTGGGATTGGAGGTAGCGAGGTGGAGCTCGAGAGGAGGTGACGCGGCTGCGGAGGTGACGACGTGTCGTTGCGCGCCCCTTCCGGCGTGGGGAGGGCGCCGAAGGACCGGG